CTCACACCGATCAACAACCCGAAGTTGTCACCCCGCTTGGTCCGAGTATGCAAGCCAAGTTCGCCCTTATGTCACCGTCCTTCGTGGACACACGTCAACCCCACATACCCAGCACCAACTCGTTGGAACGCCCACATCCCTACCCACCTTTCTGTCTCTGCTTGTTAGCCGATCCTCTCGATCGCGCTAACTCCCAAGTGTAGATTAGAGAGTGAATTAGTCGCGCTTGCGAGCTTTATAGCAGTTACTAGTTGCGCGAGGTAATTCCGGATTATGCTTAAGCAGGACGAAGTGAGAAGGAGGGAGTGCCTTCGGGTGCACGAGGGGGCCGAGTTGTGGGGGATGTAGCCACACTCCACGCATCGATCCAGTCATGCACTTGTAAAACAATGAGACAGACGCGAGAGAGGCAAAAAAAAACTTCGTGTGGCAAAAAGAAAGAGAAGAGATTAAGAACAGCGAGGATTACAGTTAGGTCTGCGCTCGCCAAGAAATAGAAAGAAGCGCTTACAATTGCGATTAGAATTTAGGCGTTGCGGAAGCAGGGTGTAGAGCAATACGCACTGATGCATGCACGAGTAGGGAGCCCTACGCCGTTAGAGCCAAAATTACGATGCTCACAAATTCCTAGCCTAATTAAAATCCTAACTGCAAGAAGAAATTACGAAAACCTGTGTCGGTTCAAAATTTAAAAAGAAAAACGCACCAAAAAATCCCTGCCCAGTTTCGTGATTAAAAAAAAAAAACAAAAAAAAACGCTGCGTCAATCGTCATTTTCCGTACTCGCTATAGAGTGTCCTCCCAATCGTCGTGGTCCCAGCTTTGCCGAAAGAACAGGGGCATCAGTGCAATTGCCCCCCCCCGACCCCCCCCCTTTCCCACCTCTCTCTCTTCTCCAACCTCCTTAATACAACTACGCAGAAGATGACACTCTTACATGTAAGAGATCGTCACAAGGCCAGCCCTTCTTCCCCGAGTGGTCCTCTTTGACAAATCCCACAAGTACCCAACGCTTGTCTTACACAACATCCTCCCCTCCCAACTGCGCCCAGTGCTGAGCTCACCATCTTCATACCCTTCTTAATCCCGAGCAGT